CCCCCCCCCCCCACACACACACACACATTGGGATGGCTCTGGTCTTTTAGGTCAGAAAACTCTGATAGTATGGAAAATGAGAGCGTTTAGTAAGTACTCAATAAAAATGCTTTCATTTTGAAGACATTTAAAATTTTTCCTTCATTTATACTCCAAACATTTATTGAACTGCTATTCGTTTCTGAGAATACAGAAAAACAAAATAGAGGAGCTCATGTTCAAGTAGAAAAGGCAGCCGTAGACCATTCAGTGCAGCACAGGGGGTGAGTATAAAAGTGAGCTATGTCCAGACAGTATGGGGCCCAGAGGTGGGAGTCGTCCAAACACTTGGGCACATCAAAGAAGGTAGTGCTGAAGAATGAATAGAAGTCTGTCAGGTAGTCAAGGGTGGAAGTAGGTTCCCATTAGAGGGATAGCACAAAATTTGTTTTGCGAGAGAGTTTAGGGTGGCAGGGGTGGGGGAAATGGTCACAGTGAAGCTGATGAGAGATGCTGGGGAGACATGATGAAGGGTCTTGAGTGTCGTGCCGAGGACTGGGCTCTGACCTGTGCAGTGGCCCTTTAGGGTGGGTGGGAAAGCAGAAAGACATCAATGAGGTGACAATCTTCACACTTGCAAGAGAGGCTGAGTTAGAATAGAGCTCCATGTGTCCAACCTGTCACCTATACATGAGGAACCTGGGGCCAGAGGCCAAGTCACCCAGCAAAATCCCTGACAAAGCAAGGAGAGGACTAGGAATAGGTCATCTGAATCCAATGCTTTAAAATTCCTCCACACCAAGGCCCTCTCCCTTAAATCTAGGCTTCTTCATCAAAGCCTTGCTTTCTACCTACTGGAATCGAATACAACTACTGATTCCAGCACCATTTATTGAGTAACTGCATCTTCCCTGCCTTCTGAGCATCGGAACAGCCAGCCTCCTGGGAGTGGGAACTCAGCTAGGAGCAAAGATGGGAATTTTACAAGGAGGGAATGACCCGATTACAGCGCCTTGCAGATGCAGAAGCAGCATAAAACCCCAAAGCAGATTGAGAAAGGCTTCTTTCTCTTGAGTTTGCAGTCTAGGGTCTGTTTTACAAGAAGCAATGCGACACACTGTAGCTGCTCCCTGCTCTTCTTAGTGCCCGGAGCCAACGCCCGCCTTCCCTAGGGCCTAGCAGGAAACACACCAGCCTAAGCACACTGCCTGTGTGTGTGTGTGTGTGTGTGTGTGTGTGTGTGTGTGTGTGTTCAGATTACAGGTGCTGGGGAACCCGCGTCCCGCAGCAACAGACCAGGAGCTGGGTGTCCTCTCACTTAGGGGCCCAGAAGAAGGGCTAGCAGCTGAGCCTCCCCGGGCTGGGTTCCAGCACAGCCTTGGCTTCTCCGCAACCTGGGCGCTTGCATTCTCTCCTCCCTTAGCAACCGGGAGGCTGTGGATACCGCCCGCCTGCGGGTGGGGACCCGGGAGGCTGCGGGTGGCTG